AAACAAAGCAAATGAAGAAGTACCAAGAGAAATCATATCACTTATGGGTTGATGATGTACCATGTTTAAACAGAATCATTCTTGTTGACTCAATCTTAGAATTTTTTATGCTAAATGTACTTGATTGTCTAAATAACATTTAAGGAGACAAAGGCTCCCCTGGAATTTTACAAAATTCGGCACACTGTTAGTTTTAGCACGTTTATGTAATACTGTAAAAGTATATATATATTGTAATTCCGCTTTCTCGGCAAAACCACCATTTCCAGGTTTGCCCTACCTCAAGTGTTATGACAGGAGGAGTGAATCTGGAAAAGATCAAAACACATCCAGTCGTTCAGTTTGTCGCGGACCATTTGAGCGTCTCTATCAACACGGATGCTCCTCTTATGACCGGTCGATGGCTNNTTCGAGACGAATACAGATATTGTACTGCTCAACTGGGCTTGTCAACTCGCGACTTGGAGCTGTGCAATTTGTATGCAGCCAAAGCAGCGTTTATTGATTCCGAAGAGGAACAGGCCGAATTGATTGAACACATTCGAACTCGTTCATAAGTAACAAAAGGGATCGGATTTCTGCCCGAACTGCTTCTCCTATTCTATCCTTCGCCCCAAAAAGGTTTCATAGTATCATACCAAACAAACTCAATATAGTGGTTTCTGCATCATCTGGTTTTATTATTTGTTCAATAGTCTATAATTTAGTTACTTACTTAAAGACTAAGTAAAATCAAAGATGATATGAGCTAAAATTAATCAAACAATCAATCAACAACTTGTTTTACTGATTCACCAACAGACTGACAAACAGACAGAACAAATGAGTGGATATCCGAAAAACAACAAGCACAAGAGAGTAATATCTACTCATGTAATTATTCCAAAAAAAACAAGCTTGTTGGAAGATTTTTGACGTCTTCTATTCAAATGGAATCTGAACAGAAAAACTGACACACTCAAAAGCTGCTTTTCGTATCTATCCGTGATGCGAACCAACCGATCGAATAAGAATCAGACTCTGGACGTCATAGCAGAACTTGAGCTTACTCTCCGACTTGACGGCTGAGAAGCTGATCATGGTGTTGCAATCCTTCGTGAAATGTCTAGTGAAATGTTTCATGTACCGAGTAACCGGGTTTGAAATGTCTCGAACGGAATCACAGCTCTGAAGGCTGGTTTGGAGATAAGTGAGGGGTGATTTCCACAACAAACTAGTGGTATGACGCTGACATACAAATTGAAGAAAAACGATCAGCTACCCGGGGCTAAATTGAACAGTATGCTTTCCTTCCACCCATAAGGCTCGTGTTTGATTGCCGTTGGGTTAATAAATTCACCATGTCAATGAGACTCATTTATGTTTACACAACTTCACAATACTTCTCAGCTTTGCTTATTCTATGCACAGCGAAAGTCATCATGTAGTGGGACTAAATTCACAACTAATCCTATCCAAGTGATCATAGTTGCTAGTTTTGAATAAGTAGTGTCGCGACCCTGAAGCTCACATAGGAGACATAGAAGAAAAAAGTTCATTGATCAACTCAGGCCCATTTTATGCTTGTTTTCTTTGCGGTCACCAGCCTGTTGAGCTCATGAAATTAATTTATTATTCTAAAATCATTCGTGGTCCGGCATTCAGTGTTTTATCATCTACTCTCACTGTATTTTCTACATTAAGCTAGATATGACGTCGATTTATGCGATTTAAAAGTAACAGAGCAATGTGTAATAAAAGTACTTTCTTAAGTTGATTATGATATGCAAAACGCGATATCGTAATTGTGAAAATACAAGGATTCAAGCGCAGATTTGCTGAATTTTAGCTGAATACAATAAGATGATATGGGATATTTTGCTAGATCAACCAAACTCCTTGAGATCTGTAAAAAATTAAACGAGTCAGAATGGAGAGAAATGTCATCGGTCCTAACTAAATATGCTAGAAATTAATTCGTATATGTAACCCTCAATCTGGGTAACTGAAGTCTACAGGCTCCTAGTTACCGAGGCTGTAAGTTTACCAAAAGTGTATAATTAGGGTGCCGCTGGTTACCTCAGTACGCTGAAGATATATTTCGACAAACTGATGGATTTGCTTGCCGCACCTTAGTACTTCAAGTGAGCTTGTCCAAAAGCTGAAAAATCAAGAGGTCTTCCGCTGTTCTTAATTCCTTCGACCGTAAAGCTGACAGATTCACCACACTGTTGTTCTTTTGAAACACAAAAATTTCCTGGAAAAGTTTAACAATATACTAATCAATAGTGTTTACCGCGCCATCAGTTTTACAACAGATCTGGAAGTGGACGACGCGTGTTCCCTTCTCTGCTTGTGCACCTATACTTAAAAAACCGAGGACCATAATCGATAACGGAAAGGAAAAATGAGCTCCTTCTAAACTTTCCACCCCAAAAGATTTTATTCTCTAGTAATGAGACGCCTATTACAGTTGCTCCACTATGCGCTCAATTTGTAAGCTGTCCGTCTTTACCATATATTGATATTAGGCAGGGAGGAAGGCTAGAACAGTGTTGTTTGCTCACCAACTTGTACTTGGGATTCGTTGTGAAATCGTGCAATCGTCCAATTGAATTAGGTATGAGGACAGATTTTTCTGTTAAGACAATACAATATGTAATGTTTCATTTATGTAGCCAAATTTATATGATAGCTTCGTCACAAAAGTTTCGGAAACTCATTTAGAGGTAATTGCTCAGAAACCTTATTCAAATATCTATTTGCAATTACAGCAAAAATAAGTAGTGCTAAGTGGAACGAAAGCAAAATTTTGGGCCCAAAAGTTGGGCAATGCACAACAGATTGCTTACATCATCACTAAGCTCAACAGAAAGCACCATGTAACCGATCAACAGCTGTTTCCCAGTAGTTGTGAAGACACTTTGTGATGTGCTTCATGTTTTAGCATTCAACGACCTTCTTGTCCAGAAGGTCTACATGAAAAGACCGTGTGCTTGCTCTCTGTTGAATTGTTTTGAAAAGCGTCATGTGAGTGTATTTATCCTTGCTGAAAGTTTCTGTAGGCGCTAGAATCATAATTAGTTAAATTTTATATAAATTTATAGATTTGTAATTCACTCTCTTTGCCGTAACTTCATTGAGTGACAATATTTACCGCACTAAGCAATAGTGTTTGGCTTTAATATTTGATATCAATAAAACAATACATCCTTTTACGCATAATATGCTTACTCACGTAACCTCATAAATGTTTATACTGCCCATATACATATTGATTTGATTGCCTAGATCAGTAAATAAATACAGATATATATAATATATATGTACATATATATACTGAGTCAGTAAATGAATACTGTTTATTCAAATGGTATTTTGCAGCTGCAAAACATCATTTATATTAAACAGTACTCGATAAACTAAAGCTTATAACAGGATGACCGCCTGATATGTTTTTAGACTGAGATAACCGCAAACATTGGTTGTCTATCGATTTGAATCACTAGCTTGACCCTGTTTTTAGTCTGTGAACTCCAGCGGATTACAAGAAAACTTGTGACAGTCTGTTATTATGATATTTTATGCACAGTCTTCTGTAAATGGAGGAGAAACGCATGAAAAGATTCCAACTAAAATCCTACCTGCGGCGCAGAAGAAGTAGTAACTTTCGTGATTTTTGATGACCGAGATTCTTGATGCTCTAACAAAAATAAGTTCAAGACTTTCGCCAACAGGAACAAACTAGACCCTGCATATTTCTATGTGCAAACGACTGTTTACCAATTTGCAGAGATGTATCTACAGATCAAGATATTTGGTTATTGGTTTTTTCATCAATGTAAGGGACTGATAAATATCTTCCTGGAATTCCGCTACTTCAAAGCACCTAATTATAATTATTGCGATCAGCTGTGGATCCATTTTACTGCAGTGATCAACTTTATTGATTTTTAGGCACGTGTCATTACCGATCAATTGAAGCAGATGGCCTCTGAGATCACTTACGCAACGTTCGATTTCGCTAGAAATTGAATGATTTTAACGCCTTTTAGAGAAACCGTTTATCGAGACTGATCTCACCAATTCGAGAGGATACTATCAAAGTTGACAGAATTGCACGTCCAAATGTACTCAGGGCACATGAACAGAGATGAGCTAAACCCGCATGTGCGAAATCCAACTGAGAATCATATTTGTTCCTTCTCTTACTGCACCTGAAACGGGCGTTATCCTCACAACCAACGAGTAAACGTTGTACAGTAATGAACTCACAACATTATATAATGGTCAATACACATTGGATTTTGATGAAGGTAACGATGGTATGCATGAATACCACCAATCTTAGTCGTCCTTTCGGAATTACCATGTTTAGGTTAATCGTAACTTGTGATGTATCACCCAAACAAAGATCATTAATTCATTACGTTTATAGTGCATGCGTATGAAACCTTTGGTTTTGTTACTGTTTTCACAGATATCTTAGGAAATGATCCTTATGTTTCTATTGCGCATGAACTAGCGCCAATATAGCTGTTTGAACGGACTCTCAATAAACTGGTTGCGTAGTGAAAACAAAAGGGTAATTTATTTTGTTTGTAAAACCAATTGCTTGAAAATATTTTGGACTTGGAATTCCCTATTGCCATTTGAACCACTGTTTTCACGTCTTTAGCAGAAACCACGGATGACTGGCACATAGTTCAACACCAGTACACTCGCTGATAATGCATTTTGAATGGGGTAAAAAATTATTTCAATTTAGAGGTAAACTGACGAAATACAGATAAATGTGTACAAAACACCTTTCGTTGAAATTCGACGTTAAATCGTAATTTACTCAATAATGCAATGGTTGTTCAATCAGTAGAAGCAAATTGACATTGAGCAACTTTCCTTAGGTAATGCTCAAAACCGCAATCGGTTTACGGTTCCAAACAACAATTCTTTACGCGATGGAGCGATGGAGCCATTTGTTAACTGACCCCCAAACATGTTTTAATGATATATGTATATATCATAATCTTTAATTCAGCAATTACGTTTACGGTTCTAGAATAACCACTGGTTGTAATTAACTGAGAAACATACGCAGCAAAGTTTGGCTTGGATTAAACAGTACTTCGTACAGTAGTCAATTTTGATATTTTGCCTTTGAACTTATAAAGAATTACATTACAGTTATTTTAAGTGTATCCATGCTGTTAACTATGAATAACTAGCATATCTCATAGTTTCTCGGCTTTCTGAGTTTGTAGTACCGGTATTCTTCGAAGGAAGCCAAATCCAAACAAATATCCTTTATCCTTCCAACTCTCTCCGTGGATTAAGTCCTCGTTGTTTTCTTTTGGTCCAGTACGAGGGCAGGGAAAAAGGTTTCCGGATACGCAGTGCACTTATGAGGTGCAGATGACCAAGCAAGGAAAAGGTGAACTATAATCTGTTGTTAGTGTTGTTCAGTGTTTGCAAGTCACAGAACCAAATATCAACACCCGAGGACAGCTCACTAGTCATAAGGGTCCCCATAGTCGGACTTTAAGGATGGAGCCCAGTCGAGGTTGCCGGAGGGCGCTGA